CTGGCAGATATGTTGGCTCCTACATGGCAGTTCTTCTGGCCTACGGGCTGTGAGCGCTTAATAGCCCGGTGACCATATCATAACAAGGGTTCCCTTTCTTGGGGGTTGGTACTTTTAAAGGGAACCTCGAACACCAAAACAAATTATGGGGTTGTCAAGTTCCTCCAAACTTGAACCCAGGAATCAGGGGTTTTAGCAAAAAAACCTAAGCCCTCAACCCTAAATCCTAAACCTCCAAACTTGAACCCGGGGATCAGGGTGATCACATCCGGGAACAGCCATCGGGGACGCATGCTGCCCAAGAGGTGCAAGGCCGTCGCCCACTGGCCGCACCTGGGCCCAAGAGTAACAGAAAGAATAAGAAAGGGTGCCCCTTTTGGTTTGAAGGGGCTAGAACAGGAACCTAGACAAAAAAAAGAGAGAATGAGGGCCTACTCTGGGTCCTAGGCTTTTAGCTCAAAGGCCTACAAACCCCCAAAAAAAATAAGGGCCTGCTCTGAGTCCTAGGCGCTTCTCGCAGGAGCTGATGACCGCATTGCAGGTCACCACAGTCGGTTGCAGCTGCTGGTCACAAAGCTCCCCTAGCCTATGCTGAACTTGGAACCCTAGCAAAGATTGAAGTTTCAGCTGTTCCTTAGGAATTAGAGTACCCAAAAACTAAACTTGATTCCCAAGAATCCCTAAGTAGCAAGCAGAGGGCAAGCTGCCACTGCTCGCCCTTCTCGCAGGCGCTGACGCCGGCGTTGTAGGCCACGACGGACGGCTGCAGAAGGGCCTCGCCAAGCTGCGAGAGCAGGAGCAGCGCCTCCTGGAGGGGTTTCTGCGAAAAAAATTCGGGGTCCCCCCATCACTCATTCCCCCCCCTTTTCCTCCCCCCTTTTCTCCTGTAGCCCCCAAATATAGCAGATACACACAGGATCACCTTTAAGGAGGATCCTACAAGTAGGGATCCCCTCAGCCCCCTCCCCCTAATCTGCGGAAACCCGTCCTGCCACAAAGCCTGCTTCTCGCATGTGCTGATGGCCGAGCCGTAGGTGACCACCGAGGGCCGGAGCTCCAGCGAGGCCAGGTCCCCGAAGGCCAGGAGCAGGGCGCGCTGCCACTGCGAAACTCTTCCGGCGGCGCTGGCCGTGGCGTTGAAGGTGATGACGTCGCGCTCAAGGCCGCTCTCCTGCAGCGAATCCCATATCGGGGGGGGTCCTTAACACCTCAACCAGCCGAATGGAGCACTAATTAACTTTCAAGTGACGGAGGCCTGTGCGCTTCGACTGCCAAGGTTGGGTGGCGGCTCTCGCCCGACGATGCGCACTTCACATCTGATTCTCATGTGCCGACGTATGCCGGCAACCGAGCGTGCTAACGCGACGCTGCAACAGGAAAGCAAGACATCATGGCCCTAAACCCTAAACCCTAAACGCTAAACCCCAAACCCCAAACCCTAAACCCTAAACCCTAAACACCCTAAACCCTAAACCCTAAACCCTGCCACCTGCAGGCTTGGATTGGGAACTGAGCTGATGGCAGGCGCTTGAAACCGAAATGGAAGCTTCGCTGCGGGGCCAGCTTGGCAGGGTTTAGGGTTTAGGGTTTAGGGTGGTTAGGGTTTAGGGTGTTTAGGGGTTAGGGTTTAGGGTTTAAGGTGTTTCGCCATGATGTGTTGCTTGCCTGTTGCTCCTATCACCAGCCCTACAGGCCCAAAAGCACCCTAACGACCTCTCTACGACCCGGAAGCCCGAAACCCCCTAGGCCCCGCAGCCCCTGCTCAGGGTTTAGGGCTCAGGGATGTTCAGGGCTACAACCCCTAAACCCTAAACCCTAAACCCTCTCCTGCACTTTGCCACATCCACGCAACGCCAGCTGCCACTGCTCCGCCTTGTCGTAGGCACTCAGGGAGGCGTTGTAGGAGATCAGCCTCGGCTTTACGGGTTCTTCTGGTCTCTTAGGGCGTTTTCCTGAGCCTGAACCGACCCACCTTAAGCCCCCCAAAAACCCTCAAGCCATAAACCTTCTAAATCCTAAGCCTCTCCCCCCCCCGCCCCCCCCAATCACCCAAAACACTAGAAAAAGAAACTGTCTGGTGCACCACCCCCTCAACCCTACGAGACCCCAACCTAAATCTTAAACCCGAAACCCCCAAACCCTCTAAACCCTAAACCCTAAACCCTAAACCCCAAACCCTAAACCCCAAACCCCACCCCCCAAACCCCAATGTTGCGACGCCGCGTGACGTGGGCCGCAGGCCGCGGCGCGGCGTGCAGTTTAAGAGGCCCAGCCTTGGAGCTTGGAGGGCTTTTGAGGGCTTCTGAGGGTTTAGAGGGTTTAGAGGGTTTAGAGGGTTTAGAGGGTTTAGAGGGTTTAGAGGGTTTAGAGGGGTTAGAGGGTTTAGAGGGTTTAGAGGGTTTAGAGGGTTTAGAGGGTTTAGAGGGTTTAGAGGGTTTAGAGGGTTTAGAGGGTTTAGAGGGTTTAGAGGGTTTAGAGGGTTTAGAGGGTTTAGAGGGTTTAGGGTTTAGGATTTAGGGTTTAGGGTTTTTGGGTTTTAGGGTTCAGGGTTTAGGGTTTCGGGTTTAGGGTTTAGGCTTCAGAGTGTCGGGTTTTAGCGTTTAGGGTTTAAGGTTTTGGGTTTAGGGTGAGTTTCGGGTTTTAGGGTTTAGGGCTTTAGGGTTGAGGGGTTTAAGGGTTGAGGGGGGGTTTGGAGTTTAGGTCTCTCGCGGCGCCTAACATCGCGTGTACCGGGTTTAGGGTTTGTCGGGTTTTGTAGTGTTTTTTCGGGCTTGTGGGGTTTGCAGGGCTTGTAGGGCTCTTATTAGAGTTTATAGGGTTCGTCGTCTCTAGGCTTTGGGGGACAAAAGCTTGCTGGACTGAGGCCAAGCAACGCCCCTTCCCATTCCGCAGACTTCTCGCAGGCGCTGATGGCCCTGTTCACGTCGACGACATCCGCTTGAAGACCCGCATGCCTCGGGGTCGTTTAAAGGCAACGCAGGGTTTATGGTTTATAGGGTTTAGGATTTGGGGTTGAGGGTTTAGGGTTTACAGGGTTTGGGGGTTTCGGGTTTATAGGGTCTTGGGTTTGAAGGACACAGGGTACCACAGGGAAACCAGGAGTCTGTCCACACTACCATCCGAGCCAGAGTTCGATGGCCTTCTTGCCAACATTCCCTGCAAAGGCTTGATAACACACCGCCAAGAAGAAAGCCTCAAGCATGAACCGCCTATCAAAAGGCAGCAACGCTACCGCAAAAAAAGATGGGTGTCTCTTTCTATGCATACGCACATAGAACTGGCAAAAACGATGAGCGTACATGAAACCCAACTCTTCGAAAAGGGTACCCCAAACCCTAAAACCCATCCCCACAAGACAAGTAGAGTGAGCCCAAAAAAACAAAAACCTAAACAAAAAAAAACTAAAACCCCTCCAACAACCCTTCAAAAAACCAAAAAAACTAAACACCCTCCAACCTCTAAAACACCCTTACGAAAAAAATGACCCTTAAAACCCTTAAGGAAAGCACCCTTAAAAAAAAACAAAAACATCACCCTTAAAACCCTTAAGGAAAGCACCCTAAAAGCCCGCCTCAAGGCCGCGCAGCTGTGGACGGAGTCGGCCCAAGGGCTCGGCGGAGCGACCGTGCGCCGCGACATCGGCTGAGGGCTCTGAGCTCAGGGGGCTATTAGGGGCTTAGGGGCTTAGGGGTTAGGGGTTTAGGGTTTAGGGTTTTGGGTTTAGGGTTTAGGGTTTAGGATTTAGGGTTCAGGGCTTAGGGTTTAGGTTTGAAGGTTTGTTTTGAGGGTTTGGGGGTCTTAGGGATTAGAGTTTATAGGTGGAGGCCTGAGGCTTTTGGGGGTTTTGGGGAGCTTTTTAATACTTTCGGGTTGCTTTGGCGGGCTCTCTGATGAAAGAGGGCTTCTTCTTGTGTAGGGTCGCGTGTGGGCTCCAAATTTCGTGCTCAGGGTCCCTAAACCCTAAACCACAAACCGCTTTAGGGATTCCTTGGCGTCGGCTTGCTGTGAGCGGGCGGCTGCGCAAGTACACATATTTTGGTGAAACAGGAGGTCGACATTGCAGGCTTAGGGTTCAGGGTTTAGGGCTTGGGGTTTAGGGCTTCGGGCTTCGGGCTTCGGGATTTCGGAAGGGTTGAAGTCCAGAAGCTTGCTTAACTTAAAGAGCGGTTTAGGGTTTAGGGTTTAGGGTTCAGGGTGCAGGGTTCAGGGTTCAGGGTTTAGGGTTCAGGGTTTAGGGTTTAGGGTTTAGGGTTTAGGGTTTAGGGTTTAGGGTTTAGGGTTTAGGGTTTAGGGTTTAGGGTTTAGGGTTTAGGGTTTAGGGTATTGCAATGACAGTGAAAAGCTTGACCCTAGTAGTGTTTGCAATGATCCTGTGTTTTTTTGGCTGATGCCAGTCGTCAGGGTTGATGACGACTTAGGAGCACGAGCCGGCGCAAAAGACAAGGAGGAATCACTGCCCAGTCTGGGAAAACACCCAGAGGCTGCAAAGAAGAAATCCTACCAGCCCCAGGAGTCACCTAGCAATAAAAAAGGGTACCCTTTTTGGTTTAAAGGGGCTTATAGGGACCCTAAACCCTAAACCCAAAACCCTAAACCCTAAACCCTGAACCCTAAACCCTAAACCCAAAAAGAAGGGGAATCAAAGCCTACTCCGGGTCCTAGCCTGCTTTCCACTCCGCTCGTTTTCTTTCCTGGCCTCCGTTCGGTAAACGCTACCTAGGCCCTAAGCTGCCCTAAACCCTGAACCTCTAAAGCCCACATCCCCTTGTAGCCTGGAGCCCTAAAACCCTAAGCCCCAAACCAACGAGGATAGAGCCCCAGAGCTCAGGGCTGAGGGGTTTAGGGTTTAGGGTTTAGGGTTTATGGTTTAGGGTTTAGGGTTTAGGGCTTGGGGTTTAGGGTTTAGGGTTTAGGGTTTAGGGTTTAGGGTTTAGGGTTTAGGGTTTAGGGTTTAGGGTTTATAGGGTTTAGGGTTTAGCGAATGAGGGCTTGGGGGTGCCCTAGGCTTGCACTTTGGCCACCTTGGCGCGAAGGCCCTGCTTCACGAACTCGAGGGCGCCGGTCACTGCAGCGACCTGGCCTTCGTTGCACACGGCGTCCGTGACCTGTTTGGGGTTTAGGGTTTAGGGTTTAGGGTTTAGGGTTTAGGGCTTAGGGCTTAGGGCTTAGGGTTTAGGGTTTAGGGTTTGGGGGGTTTAGGGCTTCGGGTTTTGGGTTCAGAATTTGGGGGTTTAGGGGTTAGGGTTTGGGGGTAGGGGTTAGGGTTCAGGGCTCCAGGGGCTTGCGAAGGGGTGTCGGGGTTCGTCGAAACCCCAAACCCTAAACCCTAAACCCCTAACCCTAAACCCTAAACTCCAAACCCTAAACCCTAAACCCCTTGAGCCACGCCTTGGGGCTGTCGGGGTACACCTCCGTCGTGCTGACGAACTTTGCCCCAGTCACGCCGCTGCCTGGGCTTCAAGCCCTTACAAGGGCTTCGAGCTCAATGTTTAGGGTTTAGGGTTTAGGGTTTAGGGTTTAGGGTTTAGGGTTTTAGGGTTTAGGGTTTATGGTTTAGGGTTTAGGGTTTAGGGTTTAGGGTTTAGGGTTTAGGGTTTAGGGTGTGCGTGCGAGGTCGCGCGCTCGGGCGTGAAACGCCCCGGGCCGCGCGCTCGCGTTGCCTGTAATCCCGCCCCGGCCACCCAAACTATTCTCAATTAGGGTTTAGGGTTCACCCCCCAACCCCCCTCAAGGGGGGCGTTCAATGCATGCCAAGGCGCACCCACGTGATGGTCCAGAGTTCAGAGGAGAGAGCAACAAAAAATGTCAGGCACCACGCCCTGAACGCCCCCCGAACGCCCCCTTGGCCGGGGGGCCAGGGGCCTTGGCCCGGAAGGGGGGTCCTGGCAGCCCTTGGTTCTTGGCAAAAGGGGGCTTGTGGGGGTGCTTGGCCCGAGATTTGGTTGGGGGGCCTTGGCCCGGGGGGCCCTTGGCCCGGGGGGGTGCCCTTGGTTCGAGAGGCCCCCCAGGCGGGGGGGGGGGGGGGGTCGAAAATCCGTGGAAAAAAAAAACCCGTTTTGACCTGAAACACGAAGTTGAGCAACCAGCCTGCCTGGACACCCTCGCCAGCCCCCTGGTCCAGGAATCCAGCCACCAGGGGCCAGGGGGCCCGGGGGGGGGGGGGTGCAAACCCAAAACCCTTAAATTTGGGGATGTGGACACCCACGCCAAATTGAGCAACCAGCCTGCCTGGACCCCCTTGGTCCAGGAATCCAGCCACCAGGGGCAAGGGGCCCGGTCCAGCCAGGGGCTTAGGTCCCCCCCTACGACCCCAACGGCCCGTTCTACTTTAGTTAACACGAAAGGTGGTCTGGATACGGCCATCCCTTAGGCCAGCAAGGCCAGGGTCGTTGGCCTGTACAGGACAAGCCGGTGAGGCTTTACCCTCACCTCTCCGCGGCCCGCTCTTTTCGTATGGGCGCTCGGGCTGTGAGCCCTCGGCCAAGCCGTTCGGGGTCTGTCGCTCGCTTCACTAAGTTTAGGGTTTAGGGTTTAGGGTTTAGGGTTTAGGGTTTTCAGGGCTTGCAGGGCTTGTAGGGTGTTTGTAAAGTTTACGGAGTTTATGGAGTCAAACTATAGAGAGTTTATGGAGTTTCTTAGGGTTACATGGTCCCTTAATACGGGCCCTTCTAAGGAGACCCCTTATATACCCCGGATACACCCTACAACCCAAGGGTCCATACTTCAGGACCCTTTAAGGAAGGTAGTGGACCGTATTAAGGGCCCATGAAACTAATCCAAGAGTTGATAAGGTTTGAGGGGTTTGAGTTTGAAGGTTTACCTAGGTCTTAGGGTCTAGGGGTTGAAGCGTTTAGGGTGAAAACTCTTATAAACCCTAAACCCTATAAGCCCTATAAGCCCTGCACGCCCTATACGGCCGAAACGCCCTATAACCCTGTAAACCCGATAAGCCCTGTAAACGCTATATAAACCCTATAAACCCTATAAACCCTACAAACCCTATAAACCCTACAAACCCTATACACCTTACACATCCTGCAAACCCTGTAAACCCTGCAAACCCTATAAACCTTACACATCCTGCAAACCCTATAAACCCTGCAAACCCTGTTAAACCCTATAAACCCTGTAAACCCTATAGACCCTGCAAACCCTATAAACCCTGCAAAAACCCTATAAACCCTACAAACCCTATAAACTCGATAAACCCTGTAAACCCTATAAACCCTATAAACCCCAAACCCTATAAACCCTGAACCCTAAACCCTAAACCCTATAAACCCCAAACCCTAAACCCTAAACCCTATAAACCCTATAAACCCTAAACCCTAAACCCTAAACCCCAAACCCTAAACCCTAAACCCGAAAGGGAACACTCCAAGGTCCAGCCGAGCAGCAAAGCCCCAGCGACTTGATGGGGTAGTTGATGACGCCTTGCAGAGTTGGAGGGGTTTAGGGTTTAGGGGTTGGGGGTTTAGGGTTTAGGGTTTAGGGTTTAGGGTTTAGGGTTTAGGGTTTAGGGGTTAGGGGTCAGGGGTTTAGGGTTCAGGGTTTAGGGTTTAGGGTTTAGGGTTTAGGGTTTAGGGTTTAGGGTTTAGGGTTTAGGGTTTAGGGTTTAGGGTTTAGGGTTTAGGGTTTAGGGTCAAGGGCTTGGATAACTTAAAACCCTTGAAGGGCTGCAAGGGCTAAAAGGTTCCAAAGGTCTGTGAAGGGCTTAAACTTCTAGGCCTACATAAACCCTAAACCCTAAACCCTAATTTCTAAACCCTCAAAACCCGAATTTCATAAACCCTAAACCCTAAACCCTAATTTCTAAACCCTCAAAACCCTTTGAAAACCTTGAACAAAACCTAGAAACCCTTCAAAAAAACCCTAAAAGCCCCAAAAACCCTGAAACACCTTAAACACCTTAAAACCGCGAAACCCTAAAAACCCTAAACACCCCACTTATTGGCCTTCTTGGGCCACGGGCTCCCCGATGATGCAGCCCTTTGCATCGGGAGGCGCAATGTGGGTGACCTGGGGCTCAGTTTAGGGTTTCGGGTGTGGGGTTTGGGGTTTAGGGTTTAAGAATTGGGGTTTAGGGGCTCGGGAAAGGGTTTAAAGCTTCTATGGGGCAGGGGCTCCCTGAACCCTAAACCCTACACCCTACACCCTAAACCCTAAACCCTAAACCCGCTTTAGGCTTCCATGGGGCTTATCCTAGTTGTCCAGTACCTAGGCAAACTAAGGGTTAACTTTGGGGAGCACAAGGGGATTCGACTACCCCAATATGGTTAAAGGTTACCTACTCTACTAAGTTCTGGGTTCGGGCTTTAATATAGGGCCCTGAATCTTAGTACTTGTTCCTTACTGTAACCTTAAACCCCCGGGTTACTATAGTATAACTCTACTACTACTAGTTGCTTAAGAACCCCCAAAAATCAAAAATATTCTTCCTTACAAGGGCAATATAGGGATTTAGATTTGCTTATTCTTTTGGGGTTTCGTAAGCAAACAGTAGACTACGAAGTTCTGGGTTTGGGCTTTACCCCCGCCTTCCGCACCGAGGCGATGATAGCAGCTTGGAACTCAGTTTGCGGGTTCTCGGTGTCGCCCACCTGGGCTGCAGTGGCTGAGGGTTTAGGGTTGAGGGCTGAGGGTTGAGGGTTTAGGGTTTAGGGTTTAGGGTTTAGGGTTTAGGGTTTAGGGTTTAGGGTTTAGGGTTTAGGGTTTAGGGTTTAGGGTTTAGGGTTTAGGGTTTAGGGTTTAGGGTTTCGTTTGGGGGGGAGCCGAGGCTTGGGGCCTTGGGGATCATGTACCGGTTCCGGGTTTCGGGTGGTTGTGGGGTTCAGGGTTTCTTGTTCATTGTTGGGGTAATATTAAAATTTTAAATGTATATTCCTTATTGGGTTTAAGTACCCTTAAAAATGTAAAATGTTACCCAACTATGACAAAGGTGTAGGGCCGTAGGGTCACAGGTGGGTTTAGGGCTTGGGGGCTTCACGCAGGGGCTTCAGACAGCTTTTTGGGGTCTCAAAGAGCCATAGAAACAGCCTACAGTAGCCCACCCAAACAGAGTAGAGGGGCCATTTTTGGGGGGTTTTAGGGGTTTAGGGCTTTTTTAGGGCTCAGAGGAACCCGAGGCACGGTGTAGAAGCCGTCAGGCACTGCATCTGGGACGTAGGTCTCCTTGCCGTCGCGCGCGGCACGCGCTGGGCGGAACTCGCTCTCGTCGGTGTCGGTGGTTTCCTCGGCTCAGGTAGCCATTTAGTTTAATTTATATCCCACAAACCATTTTTTTTATCAATTCAATTTCTTAACTTGGGGGGTTATGTTTGTCGTAGGTCTGGAAACGAAAGTTTAGTCGCTACATGTATAAGTCGTTGCAAGAATTTCATAACCTTCATCGGTGAGCGTGCGAGCCTTGCTTATTTTGTGGCTTCGGGCGAACAAGACCCAAACCCGAAGGCCCGAGCTCACCTTCTGCTGGGCTGTCGGGTCTTACGGCCTCAGACGCCCCGACCCACAGCCGAGGTTCATGGAGATCCATGTGCAGCAACACGGGCGACTCAATGCCAGAGACCAGCTTCATGATGGCAGCTGCCTCTTCAGAATCCGAGTCCTTCTTGAAGGACCGGTTGGGATCCACAGCATTCGGGTTCCATCGGTTGATGGTCTCATACCCCCAGGGGCTCACGCATGGGGCCACCAGAATGTCGAACTCGTCTGCGTACTCCTTGGCCTGTTGAGCGGTATAAGGGGGACCCTTAATCCTATTTCCCTATATAACCGCTATTCTTCTACCATACACAACCTAAGTAAGCCCTAAAAAAAACCCCTAAAGAACCTGTAAGGCCCTAAGGTCCTTTAGCCCCTGAAGCCTCTGTCTCCAGAAACCGGAGAGCCCCCTGCACCCCGCTCGTCTCATAGCCGTGCACCCCGCCCGTGACCAGCACGACCGGCTTCCCAGTCTTTCCGAAGCCGGGCGTTTTCAGCGCAAAGAGGGGATACTTTTCCTCGGCTGGCCCCAAATGGGGGGGTTTTCGAAAACGGGCGGTACCCTTCTTGGGATTCCTCTAAAAGGATTCTGTAGTATTTTAGGGTATATAAGGGGTACCCCGATTTTCGGACTTCCCAAATAGGGGCCCTCTGAATCCGATTCCTGACTCAGATCGCCCGTAAACCAAGCGAAGGGAAACTGGTTGAAAACATGTGGTTAGTCGCAATGTGCAAATAGAGCCCCGAAGTCCTAATCCCACCCCCTGAACCCTAAACCCCTAAAGTCCACGCAACCCTGAACCCTAAGCCCTAAACCCTAAACCCTAAGACCCAAAAACCTCCTTTAAGAGGATCCAGGGCTCGCTTGAACCGGAAACCCCCTGCAAAATATCCCCAAAAACCCTAAACCCTAAGCCCTCAACCCTAAACCCTGCCGAGCTTCCGTGTCGTAGGAGAGGGCGCCATACTGAAACACCTCAAAGTCGCCCGCCTGCCTTAACTTCTCAATCTTCGAGAGCACCTCCTCGTGGTAGGACCTGAAGCAGATGGGTTTTGGGTTTAGGGTTTAGGGTTTAGGGTTTAGGGTTTAGGGTTTAGGGTTTGGGGTTTGGGGTTTGGGGTTTGGGGTTTAGCGTTTGGGGTTTAGGGTGTTTCGGGGAGGTTCGGGAGGACTACGAGAAAACGGCACCCCGCCAAGAACCACCAAATCTTTACGGACCCAACTTCTCTCTGCGGCCCTGAACCTTCGAAGGAGATGCCAGTAGCGTTTGGGGATTAGGGTCTGGGTCTAGTTTTTATCAAACCCTAAACCCTTAACCCTTAAGCCTTAACCCTAAACTTACTAAACCCTAAACCCTAAACCCCAAACCCCAAACCCTAAACCCCAAACCCCAAACACCAAACACCAAACACCCATCCCAAGGGCCGCTTGATGCTCTGCTTTGCCAGCCACTCCGTGCGCTCGGTAGGCCCCCAGGGAACTCCCGGCTTCCCAATGGGATAGAACCTTCGAAGGGTTTAGGGTTTAGGGTTTAGGGTGCTCAATGTCGGGTAGTATAAACACGAAAACAGAGACATGATTCCGAAGGACCCTAAACCCTAAACCTTAAACGCCATAGGAACTGGGCCATGGCGACGCCACGAGCGCCGAAGTGGAGGGTCCCACCCAAGGCACACACTAATCCTGAGGTAGGGTTTAGGGTCTAGGGTCTAGGGTCTAGGGTTAAGGGTTAAGGGTTCCGGGTTTAGGGTTTCGGGTTTACGGTTTAGGAGCTTAGGGGTGGTTTAGGGTTTAGGGTTAAGGCTTAGGGCTTAGGAACTCCAACAGGGTTTCAGAGAGCAACAGAATCGGAGAAGTCGTTGTCTTGTGAGAACTCAAAACGGACAACAAACCAAAGAACCCTAAACCCTAAACCCCCCTAAACCCTAAACCCTAAACCCTATACCCTAAACCCTAAACTATACCATGTTGGCAATCAGTCTCCTAGGGAGAGGGCCCGCTGTTGCAAAGGCTTGCGGGACGTCAGCAGGAAACGGCGCATGGCTCAATTTGGACTCTGGGAGCCGATACATCCATGAGCAGTGAAGAGTGAGGAAGGAGTTTAGGGTTTAGGGTTTAGGGTTTAGGGTTTAGGGTTTAGGGTTTAGGGTTTAGGGTTTAGGGTTTAGGGAATCCTCTGAGAGGAGGGCGGCTTCTTCGGTATAAGCTGAGTAAACACGAGAGAACACAAAGAATCCACCCGTGCTGAAGGGTCTCTTGCTTGTCAGGAGAGCTGCACTTCTCACAATGGAACCAGACCCCCTAAACCCTAAACCCTAAACCCTGAACCCTAAACCCTAAACCCTAAGCCCTAAACCCTAAACCCTAAACCCTGAACCCTAAACCCCAAACCCTAAACCCTGAACCCTAAACCCCAAACCCTAAACCCTAAACCCTAAACCCTAAACCCTAAACCCTAAACCCTAAACCCTAAACCCTAGCCAAAACAGGCGCCGACCTTCGCTGCGATGCTCTTCATGGCGCTGCAGAACCGAGCCGCTTTTACTGGGCACACCAGCGATCCCCTTGATGTGTCCCCAAGAGAGGGTTTAGGGTTTAGGGTTTAGGGTTTAGGGTTTCGGGTTTAGGGTTTAGGGTTTAGGGTTTAGGGTTTAGGGTTTAGGGTTTAGGGTTTAGGGTTTAGGGTTTAGGGTTTAGGGTTTAGGGTTCAGGGTTTAGGGATCGCTCTTCGACGATACCCCGAGCAATCAGCAGAGCGGCCCCCTCTCTGAAGCCCCCGAAAAGGATCCGCAAACCAGACCCTGCTAAATTTTGGAGGGTGGACATACATCACATATCCCAAGGGTCTCCAAATCCCTAAACCCTAAACCCTAAACCCTAGACCCTAGACCCTAGACCCTAGACCCCAGATGAAAGAATGGAGGCGGAAGTCTGCTCGCTGTTAGACCCAGATGACCAGCCGACCGGCACGCCCGCACTTGAAATCTGTAAACTAGCCAAAATTCAGAACTACAGAGACCCTAAATAACCCTGAATCCCTAAACCCTAAACCCTAAACCCTAATTGCAGAGCTTCCCAAAGAACTCACTACAAAGCTCGGACGTGCGACGGGCGTCGCGCCCAGGATGGGTTGGCTTCGCCGCGGAGGCCCCGGAACCGGGGTATAGGGTTTACAGCTTAGGGATTAGGGTTTAGGGTTTAGGGTTCAGAGCTTAGGGTTTTAGAGTTTACGGTTTACGGTTTAGGGTTTAGGCCTTGGGCCTCCGGCCAAGCAAGCCCCTGACTCTAAGAAAATTCCCCAACAAGATGTTCCCCCAAATAAAAACTCGAACTGACCAATCTCAGTAGAGGCCCGCGTCGAGGGCGATGCCCCGAATCTTCGCCAGCGCTGGCGCCATGTCCTCAAACTGCAGCCTGGCATCGAAGGAGGATCCCGGAGCGCCCAAACCCTAAAGCCTAAACCCTGAACCCTAAACCCTCAGCCCTAAAACCCTAAACCCTCAACCCTGGAAGGCTGGGCCATGTCCGCGGGACCCCTGAACCCAAAACCCTAAACCCTGAACCCTGATTCCTGAACCCGAAACCCATTGCTCGGCTTCCCTTGTCAGGGCTCTTGGGGCTTCGGGGGTCATAAGATGCCGGCTGTGGGGAACTTTTAGGATGCCGAGGTTCAGTTCACCCGTGACCCCCGCTTCACCCCACAGAGCCCGGTCATGCTGGATGTCTTGGGATGTTCCCCCCTTATACAAACGGTCGTTAATAGGGATTCTCGAACTTATGATCCCTGCTAAGGACCGTTAGTATGAGGGGGAGCATTCCAGTGAATATTTTTTTGGGGTGAGGTTTGAGTTTGGGCTTTTGCGAAAGTGCCTTGAAGTATGGCTAAGTAAGATCCCAGGAAAGGAGAACCGAGAATATCCCAAGGACCTACCTAGCTCCTCGCACGCTTTACATCACAGCATCTCGGGCTTAGGGCTTGTTGGGATGGATAGACTTTCTTCTATGTGAGACCGCCCACATGCGCAGAAACCCATTCAGCTTTAGACAGCAAACCCTACGCTACAATCTAGGGGCCTTAAATACTAGAATAGGGTTTTGGGGAGGAAATTAGAGTATATTTCTACAGGGACCGGGAGGGAATACTACTAGTAATTATTCCGACCGACCCCTAGAGTACTTAGTAGCCCTGTAACCATATTACAATAAGGGTTACTTTATAGGGGAACCTGGAACCCAAAAAAAGGGAAAAGGGCACCACCGGGCTACCCTAAACCCTAAACCCTAAACCCTAAACCCTAAACCCTAAACCTAGAGTAAGTCTCCAAGCACGCCCTGGGCCACCGGAGCTGCCGCTGCGTTTTCGCGATCACCTGGCATCAAGGCCGCGGTCTTCTTTTCCCGGAGTTAGGGTTTAGGGTTTAGGGTTTAGGGTTTAGGGTTTAGGGTTTAGGGTTCAGGGTTTAGGGTTTAAGGTTTAGGGTTTAGGGTTCAGGGTTTAGGGTCCTGCCAACCGAGCTGACAAATCACAGGGGTTAAGAGCTTCGGGCTTCGGGTGTAGAGCCTTAGAGTTTACTTCGGGCTTAGGGTTTCGGGTTGAGGGTGAAGAGATTTGTGCTTATTGAGGGTTTATGACTGAAAACTATGCTGGACACATTTTACTTGAGCCAAATCGTCAGGTCGGTAAGCACTATGTGGAGGCGATAATTTCATCACCCCTCCTTCTGTACATGGCCAGCATTTGCTGGTTAGGTACAGATCCTACTCTACTAAGTGCTTAGCTCCTAACGCTCTGCCTTCAACGAACCTTTGGTTCATGAACGACATTAATTTCTCACAGCTTTCCCTGGTCATTGGCTTGGTCATCAAGTCGGCAATGTTGCTTTGAGTATGCACTTTATTCAGTAATACTCTTTTGTCAGCAACCTTCTCTTGCAACCAAAGGAATCTGGTTTGCACATGTCGCTGCTTGCCGAGTCCCTTCCGGCTTGCAGTACCAATCGCTGCCGTGGAGTCTGTTCGGACTTCCAGTCGTACTGGATATCCCCAGTCTTCCAGCAACGCTTGGATAGACATTCCCAACGCACATGCCTTCGTGGCTGCGTAGTATTCCGATTCCCCGCTGCTAACAGCAACGGTAGATTGCATGTTGCTGCTGCGCTTAACACAGTGTCTTCCGTTCCGAACATTCCAGCTAACCCTGTCGTAGACCGTCGGGTCAGTAGGCAGCCAGCATGATCTGAATCGCAGAAAACAGTAAGCTTCTCAGGCATCTTCTGCGCTTCGAATCTAGTCTGGACTCTTGGTCTGCCCTTTAGGTAGCGTCCCAAACGCTTCAGATCTGAAAGATCTTGGTCCGTAGGGTTCTGCATCTTTCGTGTAAGACACTTAACTGTCTCGTTCAAGTCAGCTCGGTCTTGTGCAAGGAACTGTGCCCTCATCACCAAGCTTCGGTAGAACGTTGCACGTTCCCGATTGACTGGTGGCAGGCCATTTGCTGCCAACACGTTTGTTGGTTTCTTGTTCTCGTTGGGAGTAGCAACAGCCTTGGCCGATTCCAGCCCAAGCTGTTTAACAATCATCTCTGCATGCCGTGGGTCGGCTTCAAAGGTGATCATTCCACTCTTCTTGTCCACCGTGATCAACCTATTCAACACGGCAACATGAGAGTCGTCAGACTCATCCATTCCCATGTATCCATCGGTACGAAACTCGTAACGTTTCTTGAGCACTTCCTTCATGAAGCTTTGGCCTTCATCATCCCCTAAAACGAAGAAGTCATCTCCATGCACAAGCAAGGTCAGGTCTTCCCCGCTGTGTCTGAAGACTGACGGCCATGCCTTTCCGGTGGTGAACGAATGTAAGCTTAGGAGCTCACTGTAATCGCTCTGCCACACATGGCTGGCATCCATTGCGCCGTACATGCTCTTGAGCAATAACGCACACATTCCTGGTTCTTCGTCTCCAGGTGGTAGTGTAACGAAGATCTTTCGCTTTGCGACTCCGTAGAAGTGTGCTCGGCTTACGTCGTACAAGGCTAGCTTGAGTGGCTTGCCTCGTTTGCATTCTTTCGAGAAACCGCCAAGCTGCACAGTAGCTTGGCTGCCTCGAGTGGAGGCATTGAACTTGTGCTCTCATGCACTGGTAGTGCTCCATGTTGTTTCTTGATTTCTCGTACAACCAATCGGCTTCGATAGTTCTCTTTGATCTGGTCTCCCTTGTTCCGGTCCACCCACTTCAACGTGATGGGCTCCTTTCCAGTTTCGTTGTAACACTCCCCGAGTGGCACCTTGGTATACACTTGGGCTTTGTGTACCCAGTCCAGTTCTTCTCTCCTCGCTTTCAGCACTTTCTCAAGTTCCAACTGAACTCCTGTTACAGAGTCGTAGACCACCTCTTAGTTTTCCGTTTCAGGAAACCATCCCTCGTAGTATTCTTCCTTGTGGTCTTCCTTTTCGTGCGGCGTCGGCCCTGCGCCGACGGCACTGACATGTTCATCGATTTCTCCATCAGATTCCATCTGGGCCTTGAGGCCTCCCACGATGGCACTGATCTGGAGAATGCTGTGCATTTGTCGTGGTCTTCTTTCCATCGTCTTCACTGGTCGTAGTCTCTCGGCTATGTCTTTGCTGTTGGTGATCCACGTCACCGGTTTTCTTCTGTAGCCTCCTTCTTCATGTATTTTGCACTCCGTGTGTATCTTATACACACCATCTTCCTTTAGGAATCTTTCCACTTGCTTCGATTGTTTTCGTTCTTTGGTTCCCACTTGTTCATGCAAGAAGTACTTCCCTCTTTCTTTCTGGAAGGAGTATAGCTCGACGGCTGCAGACAGCGGTTTCCTTCCATCACCTATCAAGAAGTAGGTGTTCTCACGCGTAAGTGTGGCCTGTAACGTGAGTAAGTCTTTCTCCAGGTTCCAGGCTTCGCCAGTGTCTCTTTCCCTTTCTAGTTCAAGGATGTACCCCTTGGGCAATCCGAAGAACCTTGCGGTTCCTTCTTTGTTTCGAACGGCTTCAGCGTCCGCTCTTTTCAAGCCCAATG